TTTTCTCTTAAAAATACTTCTATTTCAGTTCTTAATTCAAAAAATCTCGTTAAAACTTTTCCCCGTAATAACCAATGTACATGAGGTTTCATTTATTATTTATAAGACTTAAAAATAAAAATATTATACCAACGTTTAAAATTTTTATTATTGGCGACCCAAAATTGGGTCACGACCCTATGGTTAAGAACCGCTGCTATAACCTATAGGTAGACATCATACAATTTACATATTAATATATTATTATAACAAGGGAACGGATTTATATGTAAATGCATATTTTTATTAAAACGAGATATTTAAGATTCGATAAGAAATGTTTATGATTTAAATCATTCCTATTAAAATTATGATACTTTTATTTTACATATTTTTACATATTTCACTAATTTTTAAATATTTTTAAACATATTTTTATCATTTCATCATTCATACGTCTTCTTCGTACGAAAATACAAGAAATTATTTCAAAATTAGTTTCAGAAATTTTTATCGCTATTGGAAAAGCTCAATATATTATGCAAAATGAAACATTGAAAATAATTTAATTTTAATTAAAAATAATTTAACAAAATTATTGATAAAAAATATGTCCCCAAATGATAGTATGCAAATTTTTTGAATCAGCGATTAAAACTCGTAGATAGATGTCGTAAAAAAGAAAATTCATGCTGTTACAGAAAAAAATTCCAGGCAATATTGATTTTAAAACAATCAATGACATAATGAATGGCAGACAACCTTTAAAAAATTTGGAATTATCGCCTTCTGATAGTATGCACTTGAAATATGCTTTTAATACATCGGTTGATGTGAAACGATAATTTAGCCGTTTTAAAAATATTTTGATACCTAATAGGCGACATTTAACATTTGATAATTTACAAGATATTGTAATAATTCAATGCAACAAATCTTTTTGATAATTTAATAATAATAATCACTTTTTTTTTAAATTATTTTTATTCGTGTTTATATGACAAATATAAAAAATAAATATACCTAAAAATTCAATAATAACCATTAATTCTATAAAAAAAAAGCATCCCTAGGCTATAAGCCTTTTAGCCTGCCCCCTAATCCGTCTCTGGACACCGCTAATCTAGGGTGACCATATTAAGAAAATAAAAAAATGGGACAGCTGTTACTTCCTCCCCCCCCCAAATAAAAAACCTCATCAATATATATTCACTCATATGTACAAAAATCTCGAGAGTTAAAGTTCAAATCTCTGTCATATCATAAACAATTATTTTATTTTTACTTTACCCTTTCTTAGTTAAAATAACCTAAGTAACAAAATATCTTCTTTTAATTATTATTAAATTATTAAATCGGTAATTTTATAGTTCGTCGGCATCGGGACTTGACACTCATTCCACGAAAACTTTTATCTGTTACTTTTAACTTAGGTTTCACATTTTAAATATACGAGTAAAACTGTTTTATATTTGTTTATACATAGATATTTTATTTACAAGCATTAATAACTTATATAATAAATAATATGGCAGTAACGGGATTTAAAACGGAACAATCTTCTAAAAACGGGATAAAAAGTGTCCCATTCGAAGTTTGTCAGGACTACGGGACGTGATGATCAAAAAAGGGAAAATCCCGTTTTAAACGGGACGTCTGATCCACCCTCCCCTTTGCTATGGCCCAGATGTTGTATGTTTATATTTTTATTTTAATTTAGTTAAATTAGTTCTGAAGCAGACGTAGCCAACAGTAGCATCGGGACTATCCCGTTGACTTGAGAAGAGATTGAGGATTTAAGACGATCTTTGTCCATGGAAAATTTCATAGTAGAGTCGAATCATTCGAATTTTGTTTTAATAATATTTTCTACACTTGATCCTCTGGATACGTGACTTAAATTTATTAATCATTCTTCATTTTATATAATAGAAATTATTATTAATTATTTACTTTATTATATATTTATTAGGATAACTACAATACCTGTTTATTTATTACTAATATTATTGTTATCATATTTACATAAATTTATTTATTTTGTTTTGATGGTTTCCAAAGTTGACACAGATTTTATTTTTTTGACTAAATTATATAAAAATTGCTGATTTCACTATACTAAAAATTTTAAAAAATATTTTTATTTATAAAGCACATATAATCAGGCACGGATACAAGGGAGGGATATGAAAGCTAAAGCCTCCCCTAGATATTTTAGATATTTAAAAACTACCTTAATTTTCAATTTATTAATTATATTTTTTATTTTTTTTATGATCTTTAATTATAACATATAATCAATATATTCATGTCAAATATTATTGTTAATAAAAATTAAAACACTATATTATTAGGCAATAAATAATAATTTGAATACTTAGAATATAATTAAAAAAAAATATATTAAAAATAAAAAAATTTAAAATTTATAAGTAGTTTAAATATTGGATCATATATGGGTCAATTAAAAATGTTGTTAATATTAGTATATTGTTTAGCTATGGTCTCTCTGATAAATATATGAATGTTTTATATAGGTAAGATGCATATTTTTATTAATTTTTTTTCAGATATTAAGGAAAGAAGGCCTGCGATTCAACTTTGTCAATTGTCTGTCTGATTAATCATTACATTTTTCTTAAAAAACCTGAACCACTTGTTACTTATTATTCTAAGATCTGATTACTCACCCTGAAGACCTATTGATTTGATGAATAAATCAATTAAGTCTATATTATTTAAAGATTATAAGTAATTATTTTATATTATGCGACAATATATTGTAGGAAGTATTAACATTTTTTTTAACTCCTGGAGAATTTAAAGGAGGGGACATAAATTTTAATGAAACTAGGATATTTCTGTTATTAATAAAAATATTAAGTGATAAAACCTTTCATAATAGTTTTGATTCAGGTTTTAGAAATATTTATTATGATACAATAAATATATTTATTTAAGTTTCTATCATTTTTTTTTATTTACATAGAAAATTAAAATAAAACATAAATTTACTTATTTCTAAAAGTAACAAATAATTTCTATAACATTATGTAGGTAGTCACTGTACAATCACAATATAATAATTGTTATAATCTAAACTTAAATTCATTAAAATAGTATTCTAATATCAAGAAACAATACCAATATATAGGCATACATTTATTACTTAAATGGTAAATGGGTATTCTTTCTTTATTTATATACATATATCAATTTATCATAGTTTTTTATGGCTACAGTTTTCTATATTGGAAGACTTACAATGAATATAAAATGAAAACTACAAAAAAACTACAAAATAGCTTACGAAAATGTTTTATTTTTTCTTCTTTAACCAGCAGCAATTGTAGGATGCAATAAAAGTCTTTTAGTATATGAACTTATGATTTGTTTTGCGAAAGCATACTACTTTGTTATTAAAAACCTAGGTGATCATTCATTTAAGAGTTAGTGAAGTTTAACCGAGGTACCAATTAGCAACTACAGCTAAGCGATCTAGGATTAATGGATATAGCCGTTTGGACGTGGGGACAAAAATAAAATAAATAAGTTATTTAAATTTATTATATGTACATTTTAATGTTAAAAATATTAATTCAAAATAACTTCACCATCGCGATTTGAATTAATTAATGACATCTTACATGTACACTTGAATGCAATTTGTACACGACTAACACGGTTATAGATGTGTATCACCGTGTTTCGATAAAGTGTGATAACTATTACAAGTTGTAAAAACCAATAAGTCATATATATTAATATAAAAGGTTACTATTGCCAAAACGATAAAATTCGATAAGGTTTGATATGATACGATACCATTAGTTATATTATGAACATAAAATATCAATGGTTTTATAACTTATATACATATATATATTTTTTTTTTTGATGTTTATTTGTCCTCACGTCCACGTTCATTTGTCCTTATTCGACAGCTAAGGCTAGTGTGTTTTTTGCATAAATAAAATATTATTAATACAACATTAAACTAACATTAATTTGTTATTGTGTTTAAAATTGTTAGAAGGGTCTTTAATGTCATATTGATTTATTTACGATACATTTTAATGGAATTTAATAGGAATGATATTGTTATTAGATGTACAAGTCAGAATATCCTGACAGAAATATTATAATAATTCAATTTTAATTTTTAAAATACATTTTTTTGCCACAAACAATTTGAGTATGAACATTATAGCTTATAATGGACAAATATATAAATAAAATCAGAATTTATTTTTCCTAAAATTAAATACAATATCTTAAATGGAATGTTTTCAAACACTGTTGTCTTAACAATTACTTATAACTAACACTATAATCATAATTTCAAATGGAAAATAAGCTTATTGTTATTATTTGTAAAACAATATATTGTATTGTGTTGAGCATTTAAAGAATATAATTAAATATTCTATTCCTCATAATTTACTAAAAATTGGTTTAAAAAAAGAAACAAAAATAATATCTCATTATAAACAAAAATAAAAGTATAAAAAAGTATAGAATATAATTATATAACTATTAATATAAGGACATTAATATTTGATTTTTTTTTAACAAGTGATTCAATAATATTGACATATTTTACATATTTTATTATAATAAAATATTTTTATTGAAACTAAATAATAAGTAATCTATTGTATAATATTTAACATAACATCAAAAGTGTAATGAACTATTTTATTCACCACTTCATTTACATTAATCTGGTTTGAACCCCATAGTTGGATTTTTTTTTTATTTCTTTTCACATATATTTATGGTTTATATTGTCATTGTAAAATTATAAAGCTAATCACCTCATGATTGAAGCTTTACACTATTATATTAGAAAACAAAAATATGTTTAACATATTTATAATTATGATTTCTATTACAAATATTTTAGTTTATAAATTTTAATATTGTTAATACTGTAAATAAAATACAAATTAAAAAACAAAAAAAAAAAAATCACTAACATTTAAAACATACTATAAAAAAAAAAAAATAGACTTTCAAGGCTATTAACTAAAAATAATCAATGGAAAAAATGAATAATTAAAATAATTATTTACTTCAAAATTATGTTTAATACTTTGTTTACAAATTGAGAGAACATATAGTGCATGATGAGTGTTGACCACATGTGGAATTATGATGGACTGGTGGAACAGTATTATCCGATGGATAACGTTGGGGACCAAAAATATCTGCTGTAGTCATCATAGAAGTAAACCAACCATGATTGACAGCTGGTTGTCTATTAAACATTGTTGAAACAGGTGAAGTCTGGGATTGGAAATAGGAGCTGCCGGAGTTCCTATTAAAGTCTGCGGATAATGGCGAGCAACGTTGGCGTGCATTGACCCCACGTACTTTAGACCTCGCCCCGCCAACGGCAGCTCCTGACTCTACTCACATAACCTACAATACATATAATGATATATTTTAACTAGAAAAATCAATGACATGTATTTATTATTTTATATAATAAACCTGTAAGACTATTGTTCCTTCATAAGTATTGTTAGGATTTAATGTAATAGGAGTGATCACTATACCAGCCTCAACACATATCATGTTAGGATACTCGTCTTCACCAAAGTCACTCATAGTATTTGATGTTACATCCCATGGATTCCATATGACTAATGAAAAATAAAACAGTACTAAGATATATACTTGTTATTTTGAAATGATAAATAGTCCACCTACCAGTGTCAGGCATATTGTATTTAATCATTTTCATTTTTCTTCCAGACACAACATTTGAAATCACATGTTCCTGTTGAGTGTTTTGATATATTCTATCGGTCCAATGATTAACAGTGACCATTTCTCTTGGTTCTTGATAAATACCATTTTCCTTTGTCTATTTTTTAACAATATATTTAATATTACATATTAATTTTCAATACATATAAATACATATTTATGAGTATAGTGTATTGTTTATACCTTATCCACATACATGCATCCTTGAAGACCAGATATATTACATTTTCGTACATCTGGTACTTTTAGATACGTATGGAAAAGCATATTAAATTGAAATGGTTCAACAGATGTATTGTACAAGTTGAAACTGACTTGTAGTTCTTTTTCCCTCAATATTACTCTTAACACTAATTTGAAACTGAAAATAAATTTAATAGTTAGATATGTATTAAAATTGGTATATTAAAAAATAATTACCTATAGTTCCACATTTGCTTGGTAATTGGATTGTCCACTAATGAGAATAGAGCTTCTATGTCACCATTGTCTAATGGTTCTGGTTGTTTTTCAACACTCCATCTGGACGTCCTGGCGAAACCATGTTGAGGACCATAAGCCCATTGACCAAAATGAGCTAAATTTAAAAAAAATTATATATATATATTAAGCATAGAAATATAAATATTTATCATTTTGACTAAAACAGTGGTTATCAAACTTTTTTGTCCACGGAGCCCCGAAAATCAGGAATTTATTTTCAAGACAGCAATAATTATTAATATTTCATATTGAGAAAAAACACGCAGTTCAAAATTTCATTTTTTTTAAAGTTCGGATTTTGTCATTCGCTATGAAAACTTTGGTCATTTTAAGTTGTATTGATAAATTTATTTCATTTAATTTTGTGAAAATACCAGCCAAGTTATGATAATAACTAGTAATAATAAGTCATAATAATAAAATATTATCAGAAGTCTTAGTTGTAAATAAAATTGGTGTCACTAAAACGTATAACTCATTGCGCGATTCAGGTTACCAGTGTTTTTCCACAATAACTAAGAAATTTAATAATACTTAAATTTAGATAATTAATATATGCTCACAGAGCACCTAGACTCCTTTAGTGGAGCCTTAGGGTTCCACGGAGCAGCAAAGTTTGAGAATCGCTAGGCTAAAATTATTGTATGTTATGAAAATTCAGAAATAATAATTTATCAATTAATAGGGCTATAGTTTTTTTTTTTTTTTTTTTTAATAAATAAATTTCATTTTACCTTAAAATAATCTACAAAACATAAAATCAATAAACACGATGGAAATAAGATAAAAAACGAATAGAGAGTATTACTTCCAGACAAAAGACTACAATTTTAATTAAATATAAACTTCAGATTATAGATTTTGAGTGAAACGAATATATTGGTTTTACCAATATGATTATAATTTTTATTTTTTGTGTTCGTATACACAATTTTGACAGGATTATTCTGATCATTCAATAAAAATTTAAATATAGCAAATGAGTTCAAATTTGTTCTTCGAGGAAGGTCATTTTACGAATTTTCCAATTGTTTTCGGCTGGTACCAAATTGGTTCCTGAGCTCTAAACCCACGTACCGAATCGGTTCCCGACTGAAAAAGGTATTTTATTAGGTATAGCCGAATTGGTTCCCGTTTAATTACGTACATTTTTCTTCTCAATTTTACAGGCTTAGGACTGTCAACTTTAAAGTGGGCTTAGTTAACAATGTGCGTTAATTTGTGGTAAAAAAAAAAAAAATTATAATATATATACAATTTTAAATCGTTGATTTGGAAGTTAACTAGTTATCACTTAGGTGTACGAAATAAAAATAATCTATGTATATAAAAAGGAAGCCAAAAATGTATAACATTTCATCAATTGAGAACGGCTGGGCCGATTTGGCTCAATTTTTTTTTAATTGTTCGTAATTGCCAGAAGGTTTTTACGAAAATTTTTTTTGGAAAAGTGCTATTGTTTAATAAATCGTAGTTTAATTTAATAATTTTTAATCCGTTCGATAACTTCGCAATTGAAAATTAATTATTAAATGAAACTATTAAAAAACTATTAAAAACTATTATTTTTATTTTTGGTATTAAATGACGTATATTGCAAAAATATTAAAAAACAAGATCCCACAACAGGTGACAAAATAAACAAGAATGATTTAAGGATTATTATGCATATCGGTTGATGATTAGACGCAATCAGGACAACGATATTCTACGAAGTCGTGAGCTTTGTCAACAATTCATGGTCGAATTATATGTAAAGATAGAGAGGAAACGATTTTGATACTTGCGATTCAATCAAAATCATGTTTTTTACACGAACAATTATACGTGACGTGCTCTAGAACCATTCAATTTGTATATGTTGGCGAAAGATAGGACAACAAAAAATATTGTACACTCTGTTGCATTAAGGATTTGATAGTGTTTTTTACTAATATTATCATAATTAGTGATATATATCATTTTAAAGGATCAATTTTAATAAATTATTAAATATTTTTTTCATTTTTAGATTTCGTCATCGATCACAGCACTCCATACCTCTTCCACTTATATACCACATCCTTATACACTTATATTAAATTGGTTATTTTTTTTCTAGCAAATTATTCTCTAGAAATAATTTATATGAAAAAACAACGTTTATCAGGTCAGCTAGTAAAATATAATAAATACAATCTAAAACCACTGATTTGTAAATTTAAAGCTAACTTTCTTCATATATTCAATTCTTGTAATTTTCTCATTAATGTACTCAGTCATAAAATTTTCAAGTATTTGTTATTTCTTTCTTATTTGCTAGTAATTTGTAGGTCTCTAGTAATCTATAGTCTATTATATTTCTATACTCTATCTTATCGATATAATCATTGTATCTATATTTCATACATATAGCTTTTAAAAATTTGTTTTTGCTCTCTATACACTGGCCCGCTGGATTTTAATTTTTAATAGTGTACCTAGGTAAATTGTGTTAAAAATTTAAATTAAAACGGGAACCAATTCGGAACTAAAAATACAATAAAGCTATGGGATTGGATGGAGAACCTGAAGAACTTTTTAAAAATAATTGCAAAAGGCAACTTAAAGAGATTTTGTATGAGCTAGAGCATTTAAAACACAAATGTCATGAGATATTAAAATTAAAATTAAAATTTATAACTGTGGAGAATGTTTAGAACCTGAACTGGAAATTGCACATATAAAAAAATCTTTTTATGAGTCGTATTGAAATCGATGAAAGACAACGCATAGAAAAATTAATTCCCGAGGAGAATCACTATTGAAATTCGTCGGCAGTTAATTTAAAAACGAACTTAGAAATATAGTATTATATTTCGTCCAGAAATCGTTTATTTATTGTGATAAAATTATAATTATTTGTGTTTATAACTAAATGATTACATAAAATTCATTTTAATTTGCGTTAAATAGGTAATTGAATCAATAATTTAAATTTTTATAAAATTTAATTTGAAGTTCAGTCAAATCATAAAACACCAGGCCAATTCAATTAACTGCTAGCATACGTCACATGATAAATTTCAAACCCTTTCTTACTCAACGACTTGAAATCAAGTGCTACTACAGACTAGTCAAAGCAATGTACAAATGTTTCTACTGGAATTAGAAACGTATAGCAACATACTTATATCCCATATGTCCACCATCACTTTCCCGAAAAACTATACTAAAGCGTAATGACGATGAGATTTATTAAATTAATCAAAGAGTTGTTACCAATGAGTTTTTTACTCAACACGATAAATACATATGTAATTTGAATTTTGTAAATATCGAAATTACTAATAGTAATAGATTTTTTCTGTAGAAGTTGTTAATTTTCTTAAAAAAAAATTGTAAATTAACATAACACGTTAATTTTAATAGGAAATTTCTCCTATATAAGATATTCTTAAAAACCAATCTGAGCTTATGACATTATGTTATGCAGAGCTGCCAAGCCCTCAAATATTATTAAAACTCAAATGTTTCAATCCAAATGTCATTCACCAAAGCTCTGTATTATATTTTAAATTAATTACCATAATGTCTTTTCCATCGACATAGAACAATACATACCGAAATAAAATTATAAATGTAATACTAACATACAAAACCATCGAGTTCCCCTAATCCAGTTGACCCCTGAAAGCATTTAAAACGAACGTTATCGTAACGTTCTCGACTAACAAATTATACACTATATAAAGCGTCATTAATAGGTGGCTACTTTAACTCCGTATTTTCGCGTCCTGTATCACACTGCTCAAACATGCTTGTTGTAAAAAAAAAAAAATTACAAATTGTATATAGAAAAAAAAAAAAAGTTGAAAAAAATTATTCATTAGGTAGCAAACGAATATAGGATTTTTTTTCTATTTGTTTATAGTATAAAGATAAAATACTGCATTGATATGTATTTAGTTTGTTATTACTTACGAAAAACTATAGGAATGCCTCCACGAATTGATTTCTGCCCGTCAAATACAGCCAATTTACTAAAAATAAAAATAAAATAAATTCATTATAGTTTTCACAAGTTGTAAACAATGTCCGAATATTTCGGGTAATGTAATAACAAGCGTCTCAACATTTGAAATTGCCATACATTGACTGGGCAATGTACAAGATTGCCTGGGCAAAGTGTATCCACCCAGCTCGGTTTTAAGAGGACAATGTGAATTAATATATATTTATATTATTAATACATAAATATTTTTCATTAACAAACTTACAACATGTACAATATTTTTACAGTAAGAATATGTGCTATGAAATAATGATTTAAGTTACACGAGAAAGTAAATAACCCAGCGGTTATATTTGATAGAGTTTTTATAATTATATGGCATTAAAAAATAATTTAGATCATTTAATTTGAATATCTATTAATTTAGATAATTTTAATTTAATCCTTAATATAAAATAAAAAATATATGTACCTATGAATTAAAAAATAATGAAGGATCTTATTAAAATATAAACAAACCAATTAATTTTGAACTATTAGGTATTATTATTATTAACAAAAATGTAATTCATCTAAACCATACATAGTTCAATGGGTACAGAAAATATGACAATTAAGGGGCTAAAAAAGAGTTTGAAGGTTTAGCCCTAAATTAATTTCCGTTCTAAATCTTTGCTTTGGGTTTTTCGTATTAAGTTTTTTTGAGTTAACGTAAATATATTTTTTAAGACATTAAATAAATTTTAAAATATTTAGTAGACATACCAATTATGCATTTCATACACAGAGCTAAAACAATATTGATTTACGTTCAATAAAGTACAAAAAAATTTATTAATTATAAAATTTGTTGTTATTAAATAATTTCTAATAAAAAATTAAAAAAATCTTCTTTCTTTCTCTATTAATGTTAATTTTTTTAATTTGTAAATCTTTTAATAATAAATATTGTATCCAAATAATTAAATCATTTCTTATAAAAAAATGATTGATTTAAAAACTATTTAGTTCGAATTAAAAATTACATATTATCATTGTCTGTAATACATATTAATAAGAGCTCTTATTTTAATTGAGTAAATAATAATAATAAAACATTGTTGTTTCTAATATAACGGAGTAAAATTAGAATGTTATAATTGGATGTACCACTTAGTTGACAACACAATTTAATATTTTATAGATTTTTTTCACGAACTTAGACCGAATACTTCTTCTGAGTTTCTGTTTTATTTTTAATTAATTTTTTGGGTGAATGGAGAGGGAGGGAAAAATATAAATCAATTCTTAAATGTTCTACAATTACCGCAAATTAATTCTCTATTTTGATTTTTACTATTGTTTTATTAAAGCTTAACATTTTAGAATTAATTTATAGAGTAGAATTATTCGAAGTTTATACTTTGAAGATATCAAATTCTTAAATTGTCGAATTTTGTCCACAAGTTTTGTAATGACATTAAATCTATTTAATAATTTATAAAAAAAGAAAAAATATTGGGGCACAAAAAATCAAAATGGTATGAAAAAAAAAAAAACTTATAGATTTATAGAGAAGTAAAGCTAAAAACCATCAATTGATGGTTTAGAAAAAATGTGATTTAATATACATATTATGTATAATTTAAACCAATAATGTCTTAATTTGAAGTCTATAAAAGGTTAAAAAGAGAGTTACGATTGTTTAAAGTATATGTTATATATGTTCACTATTATATAATAATACCAAATAATACAAAATTAAATTTATTAAAAAATAATCAATACAAAATAAAAATTACACAATTAAAGATAATATTCTCTTTAATAGTTATATAATATTATACTTCAATTTAATTAATTTGTTGCTTTTATGTTTAAATAATATTTTTTAAACAAGGAATAAAAGTAATACATATTATTCACTCAATGGAAGCAAGTATTTTATTGGTTATGTAATTAAGATTTTTAAGACAAATGATTCTAGTAATAAATACACATAAAACTTATTTAACAAAAATTGTTTTATTGAATTTTGAGTACAATGATTATTGTATATAGGTATTTCACTTATAATTCATAAAATGAGGACTTATGTTTTTCAGTATTTAAATGTACTCGTAGTATATTAAATTTAGATTTTTTTTAAAATTTAGTTGAAATTATGATAAAATAACTATGTTTCTATTAAGTTATAGAATGTCATTAAATGTTCAATCAGATGTGAAACATTATTAAAATATTTATCAAATCAGTTGATAATACATTTATAATCTAGGGATAAATACTTATAAATGAAGCAATCAATAATATATAAAATATATTGTACGTTATACAGTAAGATAAAAATAAAATGTTTGGCATTAATAATTTCTCAAAAACAAATAATATCATATTATACAGCAGTAAAAATAATTATTTTAAAATATTGTTCATTAATCGATCAATGATTAATTTATAAGTAACACTTTTTTTTTAAATTATGTATTAATGCACAACAGAATATGAAAATATTAAAAATTAAATTAAAATAATAATACATAAATATTTCAACGATTATATTATTTCAACGTTTTTCCAGAAATATAGAAAACATCATATTTATAGTTTATAATTTATATATTTATTTTTATTTAGCTTTTAGTGGGTCACTTAAATTTACATATATAGGTATTATATTTTTATATACATAATTAAGTTTAGAATACATTTAAATTAATTTTAAGGTGAACAAAAAGGCAAATAAGTCGTCAATGATGTCATATCGTCATAGAATAAAGATGCATATTTAAGGTATACAGTATAGGAGAAATATATTATAAGTAAATATATACTGAAAAAGACAGAAAATATTTGTGGATATGCTCTTTTCGTTACATCACTGGCATGTGCGAGTATTTGTGTGCACGCGCAATTGTTTTTTGCATCTGTCCTCGAACCTTAAGGGTGTCGGTCAAAAGAAGTGTTAACCCTTGTCCACTCAGCCTCACGTAGGAAAGCAGCATCCTTTTCATTTCCTCGGTGTGTGCCTTGACAAATGAGCGTTCGAGACAAAAACCGTCGAACGGCAGCGACCCCCTTCTTCCTCCTATGTCTTTAACTACTCCTCCCCACAGTGTTCTCGGCCTTCGCACCCTCACGCGTACTTTTCTTCATACTACACACGATCCCTTGCTGCTATTCCATCGATCTTTTCCCTTTTCCACCACTACCATCTCTAAGTTCTCGCCCGTTTTAATCCATAAAGGACCTTTATCACTAATTACAATCGTGGCCGCCGGTATATTGTTGCTGTTTGGACACGCCAAGGCAACTGCAACAAAAAACTTGCCACACACAACGCGGACACATTGCAACTCACAAGAGGGCGGGTAGCGGTCGACCAGCCCCTCACATATATAACGTTATATTACACACTCACTCACACACACACACACATATATATATATAAATATACACACGACATAGAAGTAGCACTACAACCGAGTTACGGTAATAAATTATCGTCGAGATTCTGAAAATCATAACGATAATATTACGTAGAACGAATATATTATACAGGAGTATTCATGTCGTAAAGTAAAATGGGTATTGTGAAGAGATAGCATGCCAGAGATAACTAATATAGGATACTTAATACTTATGAAAGTATTACTATATTATTTCTATTGGTTATAGTTTGAAGACAACAATAATATAGCATTAATTTTGCATACTAATCAACACAAATTATTGTAAAGAGAATATTACGATTGCAATAAAATAGCAGTCTAGAATAGATACAGAGTATGTATAAATGTTATTATATGGTACACGTGATAGGCAATATGTACAATTAATGTATTTGTTTATTTTATGTACTCGGTAATAATTAGTCAAAGCAAGGATAGCGTTACTGGTATTGATATTTCGAAACATATTTTCGTTTTAACAAGAAAATGAATTGTAAAATTTATTTTATTTTTACTGCAAAATAAAATTTTCAAGTAACAAAATATAAAATTTCAAAACTTTATAATATACGCAGGTATTATATAATATATTATGTTTATTTCTTATAATTTCTTATATTTTAAAAAGTAATTTTAAGAAGCTATGCATTTTTTTGGTGTGAGGGAGGCATTAAGTCTCCCCAAGCAATCCTTGACATTTTTCCACCAGACCGGTATAAATGATTGAAAATATAAAATTATACATCATAATTAAAAAAGTCGGGTTCGATATACAGTATGGCATTGAATGAGATACTGGAACAAGTGACTGATATAGGTTAGGTGTTGTTTATGTATCATTATTAGAATGTATAACCAAGGTTAATATACTTTCAATACTATTATATTTAAGTTAGCTATTGCTTCTTGTTTTGTTATGATTTTTAAATAATAAAACCAAAAATTAAAAATTTAATAAAGTTATAATCGATTTAAATTGTAAAAACTCAAAGATATCATATGCTTATAAATAGCACACATTTTACTAGAATAATTATAATATACCTGTAAAATGTTAATATAATTTCAAGGTAAATGTTTCAAGTAGCTATTTTTTGTTTACAAGAAAATAAACGAAATATAGTAAAATATAATACAATGTATATTGTAACTATTTATATTTGTATAAGACAGTATTAATAAGAAATTATATTACATTTATAAAGTATTTTTTCATTGATATGTATTTAGAAATTTGGTTTTGATTAAACTATTAAGTTTTTAAATTCAATTAGTTCAAAATAAATTAAAGAATAGTTTAAACAACTTGTATGAGTTAAAAGTGACATTAAAGTGATAACTAAAGATAAACTTTAGTAATTCTAAGGATTAGTTATTTTCAAAATATTTATAAAGGTAAATGGGTTAAAGGCCAATAAGGATTTCGAAAAAAAATAAATGAATATAATCGATAATTATAGAACTTTTATAACGTAGTAAGATACTTATTTTTTTATTTTTTTATTAGTATATAACTGTTAGTTTTGTTAAATACATTAAAATGAAAAACAAATTATTTTTCATTGTTGTACTAAAAAATACGATATTTCAAAAGAAT